CCGCTCTTTTCCGTGCGTCTAGCCTGCCAATACCGGCTGTCCCGCTGCGCCTATGGCTCGCATCTCACTGTCCCTTCTGTCGTCGTAGCCTTTTCAGAACTAACGGCTATTCACAAACGTTCATTGAAAGAAATCGAATACCATCAAAAATGCGGACCGACAAGGGCTGCCGGTCAATGTCATGGCGGATCATTCCGTAGATGAGAGGGGTCTCTGGAAACAGTGGGTAGATCCCTCGCGTCTCTCGAGATAGGAGTTGCCCATAGGCCTAATAGTCCGCCAACAAGTGATGTGGCCAAAAGGCTAAGCAGTAGAAGTCAGCTGTTGTCTATTGAATTCAGTGCAATTGCGGGATGTGCAAATATGTTGGCGAAACCGTCCGACAGCTACAAACACGAATGCATGAACATCAACTGGCTGTGGGAAGGTTCGACCCAAAGTCAGAGGTAGCAATCCTTTCTGCAGTAATAGGGCACGTGATAAACTTTGACGTCGTTTAAATTTTTGGCCGAGGTGACGAGCCCACATCAAGGCTGGATGTCGACCAACCGCTCAGTAATCCACCACATCTTTTTGTCTACGTTCCCCGTTTGATTTTACGAGTCTCCTTAGCAGGAGACAGTCACAGCGTAAAAAAATCGGGGGCCATTAACCCCCCTCTACGGCCAAAGCGTACGGGAATGAAACAAGCCATGGTTAGACGTAGGTCGACTGGCGGTCAACGGAGCTGGCGGCGGCGGTGTGGATCAATCGGGATGGTCAAATATCTCTGCTTCTAACGAGTGCGGGGATGAAACAAACAAGAGCAACGGCATTTCGACCGTCGCTGCCAACGATGTCCCCTACGAGCTGCAGGGAACCACAACAGACGCGTCTCCGTCGCGTTCCCACCCGCCCTCACGGCGGCCAAGGTCTGCTACACCGATCTCCCTATGGTGGATCTATCTCCCCTCCTCTCCATCTGTGTTTTTTGATGACGGAGCAGCACCTCCCGACCATGCTGCTGCTGCTGCTCCTCCTCGCCACCGGGAT